AAATAAACGTTGAAGAAAAAAAAAATTAAAAAAAATATATATATGAATTAATAGATATATATCAAGTGAATGGATTGTCACCTTTTTACTTGACTTTTATTCTTCCATTCTTGGCAAAGTTTATTTCCAATGTCATATTTGTGAAAAAAGGAGCAACAAATTTGTTAATCATAAAGTTTTTTTTCCTCCCTGTGTTTAGTATGAATTCTTTGGTATAGATTTCCCAAAGTGGCTTGGCTGGATGAAAGAATGAAATATTTTAAGTTTTTGGGGGGTTTTATTTATTTATTTGCTTATTTATTTTGAGTGGGACGGAGAGAGAGAGAGCTTGTGGGGAAGGGGCAGAGAGAGGGGGGAGACAGGGAATCCCAAGCACGTTCCGTGCTGTCAGTGTGGAGCCTCCTGTGGGGCTTGAACTCACATACTGGGAGATCATGACCTGAGCCGAAGTTGGACACCTAACCCACTGAGCCATCCAGGCCCTCCTCCCCAACCCACTTTTCTATTGAGTTATTCATTTTCGTATATGGTTGGGATTTTCAAACAATCTCCATGTTAAGACTCCTTGCCGGGGTGCCTGGGTGGCTCAGTCGGTTAAGCGTCTGACTTCGGTTCAGGGCATGATCTCACAGTTCGTGGGTTCGAGCCCCACGTCGGGCTCTGTGCTGACAGCTCGGAGCCTGCTTCGGATTCTGTGTCTCCCTCTCTCTCTGCCCCTCCCCTGCTCATACTCTGTCTGTCTCTCTCGCTCTCAAAAATAAACATTAAAAAAAAAAAGAACCCTTGCCTATTTAATAAGTGAAAGTCATATTTCATTGTTATCTCAAATGTGCATTTCTTCGATTATTAACTTTTTCTCGTAATTACTCATTTGATTATATATTTTTTTTTCTCTTGTGAATCCTGAGTTCGTCCTGTATTCTCATTTTCTCCAGATAGTTTTAAGCTGTGGGAAAATCACCCGGTCTTCGGGGTGGCCCGGATAACCTTCTGCCTGACCCTGGGGCTGGGCTTTGTCTTCACCGTCTGGTTGCACCTGCCGTATCTACCTGGTCTGAAGAGACTGCCCTTCTTTAGCTGGATCGGGACCATCCTGAGCTTCTTTGAAGGTACCCCTAGCTCTGGGAATGGAGCTCAGTTTCTCACAAGCCACATCTTCCTGGGCACTCCTCCCTCTTCCTTCCTTTGGGGGGGGGTGGGGCGGGGGGGGTGGGCGCTGAGAATGGAGTCCCCCCATTTCCCCCGTCCCTGGAGAGGTGGAGTCGGGTGGGGCTGCGCTAACTCAGCACAGAAGGGAGCATCCTTGGGGGATTCTTAGGTGAGAAGGTCTCTTGGCTTCCTGTCTCCCAGTTACCTTTATCTTCTCCACCCTCCTGCTGTTCCCTATTAACCTCTGGATCTTTGAGTTGAAGAGGAATTTATCTGTCCCCATCGGCTGGAGCTATTTCATAGGCTGGCTGGTGTTTGTCCTGTATGTCACCTGCGGTGAGTGGCCTGGCGGCCCTGGGAAGGAGGTGGCTCAGGGCAGAAGGAGTGTGGAGGGAGGGAGGGGCTGGTAAGGCCCGGAGGTAGGGAGGTAGGTTCTTAGGATTCACGTCCCCTTGGGCCTCACCTCGCCTGGCCTGCCGCTTGCTTTCCTCCGTTCTCCACATTTCCTGTCCCCCATCCCTTTGTCCTTTGCCAGCGGCCCTCTGCCACTTCAACCACAAACACTTCTGGAGCGTGATTATGAACTGTCCCAGCCGGGCCGCGTCCTGCAGCAATGGTGCCAGCTCAGTACAGAACTTTCCGAGTGAGCCGGGGGTCTCACTCGCCTCGGTCAAGCAGGAGGAAATCCTGGATCCAGAGCGAAAGAAGGCATCTCCGTAACCTTTTCGGAAATCCTGGCGCCAACTTCGGCCGCCCCTCGTCCGAATCCCTCTCCTCATCCTTTCTCGAAGCCCTGGGTAGGTTGGCTCTCCTCACCTCGAGGACTTAGAGAGGGAGGATTTTAGGTCAGCCTCGTACTCGCCCTCCTTGTTCCTGCCGGCTGACAGCGGGGCCGATGGGGAATAAATTGTCTCTTGCTTACCGTGTCTGGGAGTGGTTGAGACAAGACGACAGCTTGAAGAAGGCGAGGAAGGGAGAGAGAACAACTTCGTTTCCCGACTCTTCCTGCCTAGGAGCCTTTGGGCTCGCCCCGTTTCTCCCACAGCACACTTGTGCCCCGGTGAAAGGCGTCTCGAGAGCTATGCCCGTCCACACTTCGTTACCCGCATCCCAACATTTGCTAGGAGGCGGGGGGCGTGAGGAGGAGAGATCACTTATGACCAGTTGGTTTATAGGGAGTGAACGACTCAAGAGCAAACTGGCCACAAGGTGAGAGGCAGGTTACCTGGGCTGTGGCTGTACCGTGTGTGCTGGGCAGCCATCCCACCTCCTGTGTCCTCAGGTGACCAAGAGGTCCCAGCGCCCTGGGCCAGGGTACCACTGGCACCAACTCCAACTCCAATTCCACCCCGACCTCCGTCCACACCTTCTCCTCCGCCCTTCCATCACCACCGCTCTCAACTCCACCAGTTCTGACACCCCTTTGGGCTGCTCCTGCTCTCCGACCAAGCTTCCCGTGTAACGGCAGGAATAAAACCGTGAGAGTCAGGCCCTACGATCGAGACACAGAGTGTCCTTTTGGATTACGAACTTCGTCTAGCCTCACGAACACGTGCGGCACCTGCCTGGGGCAGCACCGGCAATGACCACTGGCATTCGAACATCCCGCACGGAGAGGCTGGTCTCCCAGGAGAGCCGCTGTGGCCGATCTGTCGAATCCTTCCAGATGGAGCTGCCACGCCAGCCAGCTAGAGGAGAGAAGGCACAAAATCCGAGTGGGGTGGGTAGACGAAAGCTGTATGTCTTAGCGGGTCGAGCCGTCCGATACTGCTGTTTCCGCAGTTAAATGCTGCCAGTTTCATAAGGTTCAACCTAAG